TGACAAGAGAAATAATTGAATAAATATGATATACTTAATATATATAATATATGCTATGTTTTTCTATGGTACTTATCTCATATATATATATATATATATATATATATATATATATATATATATATATATATATATATATATGCATGTTTCATTCAAAACGACAGACAAGGTACTACGGCTAAGCTTTTTATTTAATTTTTCTTGTGTTCGAACAAGAGCTTTCTTTTCGGGACAAAGAATGTGTAAGAACTGTCCAAATGTTTTATAGTTCCGAGCGCTTTCGGCTATACCTTTAACCATTATCAAGGATGATTCGATTTTTCAGCTTAATTGAGTGAGTGCATTATGTGTATTTCCGAATACGGTTAGCCCATTGTGGCCTTGTTCGTAGTTAATATTGTTAAGAGTTATTCTTTTTCTTTTTTAACATTAAAGCTTCCACTATTTTTAATCTTTTTTTACAGGTGGATGCACTTAATATATTTGTATTTTCTACTAGTATGTTTCTAATGGAGTCTGGTAAGTTTGTGTGTGTGTGTCTCTCTCTCTCTCTCTCTCTCTCTCTCTTTCTCTGTGTGTGTGTGTGTGTGTGTGTGTTTAAATGGGTTCTAATGGAGCTGTGATCAGATCGGTGTAACGTAAGATGTCTGGATAAGCATGTAGTTGTGTAACCGATGTAATTATTTATGAGTCCGGTCTGATCAGGAATACAGGTCCTTAAGGGGCATTTGAACTCATAGATAACATTCGTTCTTTGTAATTTTGACTTAGTTGGTGTGTTGTTATTTTTTTAGGATAAGTTTAACTGTCTTAATTTTTTTATAATAGATAATTAATTTGATTTTTTTCATTTAGGTAAATTGGGGTAGTGTATTTCTTTATAAGATGTCTTAGTGAAGATTCGTCTTGTTTGTAATTAATGTGCATTTGGATTTTGTAATAAATGTGTATGTAATTTTTGGCTGTGTGTTCACTATCGTTATTACTGACTTTGGGGAGAAATAGTCTAATTTGGTGTTCTATAAGGTGGTTAGGGAAGCCGTTATTGATTAGTGTTTGTTTAATATTATTAAGTTCTTTGTGGAATAGTAGTCTAGAGGATGAATTCTGGTGTACTCTTTTTAGAAAGTTTTTTATTACTGCTATTTCGTACCTAAGTGGACATTTTTTGGGACGTTTTTTATATAACTATGTGATGAAAGTTTATTGCTGTATTCTACGAGGACATCTAAGAATGGGAGTGTGTTTTTTGGCTAAGATCATCGGTAAAAAAAAAGGACGGATTTTTTCTTAAATGTTGTCTTAAGTGTCTCTATTTCTTTAATGTTATGTGCTAAAATAAATATATCATCTACACAGCGAACATATATTTTCGGTTTACGGACCTGTGTAAATATAATATTTTCTACGTGGGACATGTAATAGTTGGAAAAGCATGGACCGAGTGGATTTCCCATACTAACACCATTAGTTTAGGGGTAAATGTTGCCATTAATATAATAGAATGGAACTTTGGTTGTGCATGCGGTAGAGTATCCAGGTTTCAGTGGCATAAAGGACAATGTCTCTTCGGTAGAGTACCCAGTTCTCACAGGCGTACAAGACAATGTCACTTCGGTAGAGTAACCAGGTCTCATAGATGTAGAGGACAATGTCTCTTTGGTAGAATACCCAGTTCTTACAGGCGTACAGGACAATGTCTCTTCGGTAGAGTACCCAGGTCTCATAGGCGTACAGGACAATGTCTCTTCGGTAGAGTACCCAGGTCTCATAGGCGTACAAGACAATGTCTCTTCGGTAGAGTACCCAGTTCTTACAGTATGAACAGTAATTTTTGTGTTGAGTTAGGATAAATTTATTAGCTGGAGAGCGGGAGACTGGAAGCAATCTCTGTTTCCATATGCATATACTGTTATACATAAAATAAGCATTAGCAGAGTACCTGCTATAACAAATTCCGACCAGATATGTCAGCAGTATTCAATAAATGGACGAATGGTAGATTTATAAAAGTGCAGATGGATTTTGACAAGAAAAAACTTTTGGCACGACACAGTGAATCGTCTTTCCTAGCAGTAAACGTAGAAAATATAGTCAATATATAGTCACTCCTCGTCATATTAATGGAAATCGTGAGCCCGTGAAGGCCCAAAGTGTTTCTCTTCTTGGGGTTAGCATCAGCCATGCCGATGACAGGGATAAGAAGTTGCAGCAAAACAGTTGGACACACTGGTATTCAAAATTCTGGAGTATTTAGGGTGAACAACCAAGGAAAATCAGTGCCAGAGATAATTACTTGATGAAGCACATTGCTAGAAATCCACAAATCATTCAGAATGGTAAAAGGTCAGTTCTACGAGAGTTTCATATCGTCTGTGATTTGAGTTAATTTAGAGCTCATTCAAATCGGTTAGTAGACCACGGTTAACTGGAGCTATGGATTCCAAACATGTGGCATTTGCGATGCAACCTGAGACCTGGACAACTGAAGACTGGAGCAAAACTATTTTCCCAGATGAATCTACTTTGCAATAGTTATGCATAAAAGAAACATTAGAAGACTCCCTGGAAGGAGATTTGCTGAAACGTATACAATCCAGTTTATAAACCACCCACCAAACCAGATGATTTGGTGCGCCGTGTCCAAATCTGGTACAGCTTGACTCTACTTCTTACTTCTAGGAACAATGATAAATAGTGCAAGGTATTTGTAAATACTGCAGGAGAAATTGGAACTGCATATGCATATTATATTATTACAGAACATTTATGCCCCATGCCACTGTTAAAAGTTCGTTCAGAATTTTTTCAACCTGACAAAAATTGGACTTACCAAAGAAAGGCCCAGATCTGGACCTAACTCAATATTTAAGTAAAACTGTCAGAAGCAATTTTACCAAAAATGTTCCGAACCACTGAGAAGGACAAAAGGAATATCGATTGACTACTTGAGTTTCCACTTATCCCGACGCGTAATCGAAAGCAAACAGTAATCGAAAGCAAAAAAGCTAATACAAATTAGTGATCCCTGCTTTATTTTTTTTAAAATGAACAGACAACAACACCGCGTACAAATCCTCGAGTTAAATTGTATCAATTTGTCAGACAATACTTGTTACTCTGTTGCGTTTAACTTTAAGGTAGTAAAATAACTTGATGGTCATAAACTTTTGTTGCCATCTGTATTCTTTGTTATGGTTAGTTACCCACACACGCATGGACTCTCCCAGCTACAAATAGGAGCAGGTACTGCCTTTTGGTGGGTGAAGTTTGCAGCAGTCAGCTCTGAGAGTCGGACCGAACATACTTGTTGTAACACTCTCGTTTGTATATGTTTGTATTTCTGTATTCTGTTAATATATTTGTTTAACTCAATTCCTCTCTTGTGTCTTTATTTCTGGCCCTAATAAGTTAAAAGGACGGTTTTTTCCGTTTACTCCGCTATTATTTAAACTACTATATTCATGGTTTTAAAAAGCGATGGTTAGAATTGTAATAAAAGCTAAATATACAAAAGGGAATTTATACATTTACTTGAGAATTTAAAACAAAAATAACAGTGTTTGTATATTAGATTGTTTATTTATACTCTTCATTTAATATACTTCTTATTTTAATAGTTGTATGGAATATCGGCTAACTATCGATCAATTCGAACTTTATAAAATGATAAATAATAAAGTTTCCCTTAAAGATGGTTCAGATATTTTAATAATTTAGTAAATGTGAATTGACTTTTCTAGCAGTAGACATAGATGGTGATTCAATATAGTCATTCTACTTGAAGATATATATAAAAATTTTGGTCCCCTTCGTTACGGTGAGTACCTAATATGTTTAACGTGTTGTTTTGTAAAATATCCCATTTTTGTTCAGATAAACATTTATTTAAATTCTTTGAGGTTTCTCCTATGTAATCCTTTCTTTACATTGTTCATTTTACTTTGTTTTCATTATCTGTAAATTCCTTCTCTTTCCTAATTTCTGATTGGGTATACAACATTTTATTCATTTTACTGCCGGGGGATCAAAGAGAACCTTCCCCATTACCATTGACCGGGGCCTACAGTTTACCATTAAACAACAGCTCTGCATCAACAACTTCGTACCCGATTTGTTTATCATTTTTCGCATAGCTCTTCAGCAATGAATTGAGCCCTCTTAATAACTGGCGTTTGTATACATCGCGTATATAATACGTTAAAATTCTCCCTTTTCCTGCCGTACGCCGATAACTTAGGTGTAGAATCTCGGACTGATGCCAAATCGAACGAGTTTCGATCCTGGCAATCAGATGTCTATCACAGTGATGATCTGTGATACAGCGAAACAAGCTTGTATGTAGATATCTATATATATATTAACTTTGCTTATTTTATTTCTTTTTTTGTGTGTGTGTGTGGGAGGCTTCATTTTATTCTTTATTCTTTCTTTTGTTTTTTTCTTTCTTTTTGCCGTTATATTTTTACATCGTTTTAAATTTTATTTTCAATTTTTTTTTTTTTTTTTTGTTGGTTGTTCCCAGGTTTCTTTCTTTCTTTCCTTCCATCTTTCTTTCTTCGTTCCTTTCTGTCTTTCTTCTTTTTTTTATTTCTCACATTGTCCACACTTCCCTCCTTTCTATTCTGTTTTTTTCTTTGTTGATCGTTTCCTTCGTTCTTATTTTTCTTCTTTCATTCATTCATTATTTTCTTCATTCTCTATTCACTCCTCTCCTACCGTCCTTCTTCTTCCCTCTTATCCGCCTTCCTTCCACTCTTCATAACTTTTCCCTTCCGTCGTTTTTTGTTTTCATTTTTCTCTTTCATTCATTCATTCATTCCATTCTTCGGTATTTTTCTACTTGAACCGATCATTTTCTTTCTTTCTTTTGAAATGTGTTTTTTTCTGTCGTTCCACTATTCCATCCTTCTGTCCTCCTTATTACCATATATATATATATATATATATATATATATATATACACACAGATAGAAAGAGAAAGGGAGAAAAATGGGTTATTATTCTATTTTCCTAGATAGGCAGGTAGATAGATACGCACAGATAGATAGATAGATAGATAGATAGATAGATAGATAGATAGATATGCAAAAACTGTGATAGATAGATATGAAGAGGCTAAGATAGACAGATAGATAGACAAAAATCTGACAGACAGACATATAGACGGATATTAACATACTAAGATAGATAGATATGAATAGGTTAAGATAGATAGATAGATAGATAGATAGATAGATAGATAATCTGACACACAGATATATATTAACATAATAAGATAGATAGATAGATAGATAGATAGGAACAGGCTAAGATAGATAGATAGATAGATAGATAGATAGATAGATAGATAGATAATCTGGCAGATATTAACATACTAATATACATAGATAGATATGCATAAACTGTGATAGATAGATATGAACAGGCTAAGATAGATAGATAGATAGATAGATAGATAGATAGATCTGACAGATATTAACATACTAATATAGATAGATATGCATAAACTGTGATAGATATGAACAGGCTAAGATAGATAGATAGATAGATAGATAGATAGATAGATAGATATGAACAGACTAAGATAGATAGATATACAAAAAATATGACAGACAAATAGATAGATATTAACACGCTAAGATAGATAGATAGATAGACAGATAGAATCGAGAAAGAAGAAGGTTTTGCTTCACAGATACCCACAACTCCAGGCTTCCTAGCCTATCTGTCTACAGACGTCGATGTCATCTCCATTTCTAACGGGCGGCCTCGTATCACATCGAAAGAGTTCGTTACCGAATTCATTTCATCTTCGTCCATGGCTTTTTCCTGAGTTTGATAACACCATCGCTTCCGTCGCTTCCTGCAACCACTTCCAGCACAGACGTATCCGCTTTTGATGTTTGAACAATTTCTACCGCCGATACCACAACGAATATCTTCGACTCTACCGCGCTTTTTTTGTTTCTTTTTTTTATCGACCAAAGAACCATATTTGTCGGCTTTCTTTTACGAAGTTCCAAAGTTGATTCTGTTTCTAATATTGCTGGCGGCAAAGTGTGCAAGATATCTTTTTTTTCCTTCCTAAACTCTACCTTGTTTTAAAAACTGCCGAATAATTGCATTTGTAGTCGGATATGCGGCAGGTGTAATTGTTAACGGCTCAGAAATTCAAGCCGTCGAGCCAAGTTCGCGACGTACGCTTGGAAAAGGTATCAATCGATTCCTTCTCCTACCAGCCTTGTGGGTGATGATTTATTTTTCAACACGACGTTCCGTTTCTCACGGAATAAACGCCACAGGCCTATCTCTTCTCTGTCGCTATTTCCATGGCAAATGTTCATATGGGCTACATTCCTTAGTTTAATCAGTTCAGACATTCACAGGCAATTTACCCCACGGTACATTCATGCGGTTTTTACATACATACTCTTTTCATATTCCATCGGTAATAAGGTATTTTCCCTCAGACAGCATCTTCTGGAGAACCATTAATGTGAGAAACACGTTCCCGAAGATGTTCTTCCCCGATCTTAACCACTTCTAGGGTCGAATGTTACCTAACCAATACTCATAATTTACGCATAATTTCTCTTCATTTAATAGCCATATACGTTGTGTGGCTTTTGGCCTAATTGTCTGATAAAAGCCATGGTATTTCTCAAACTCTTCCGCGACGAAAGAGAACAACCGGTAATACATAGAAATATCAACGGACATGAAATATTAAAAACTGTAGTGGTAGTAACACTGGCCAAATTGAACAGAAACAATGTGGCAGGGTCTGACAGAATTGTAATAGAACTGCTGGCAGCCTTAGATGATTACAGAAATAATAAAAGAAATCTACAACAGTGGGGATATACCCGAAGACTTAAGCAGAGCTATTTTCATAGCACTGTCTAAGAAACCAGGCGCAAACGAATGTGAACCCCACTGAACAATTAGCCTAATGAGCCACAGAACAAAACTCATCATCCGAATTCTGATGAATATAGCACGCAGCAGAATCAGGCCAGAGATAGGATAAGAACAGTGCGGGTTCGTTAAAGACACCGGAACAAGGAATGCAATATTCATGCTCAGAATGTTATCAGAAAGAGCAGTACAAATACAGAAAGACGTATTCATAAATAGAGAGAATGAGTCTCACAGATAAAGGAGATATACATAAAGAAATAAGGGAACCTATAGAACAAAAGACATGCTCATCAACAGATTGCATGAAATCCAAAGACGGAACATTCATATTAGAGAAAGAAAAAATTCTTCAGCGCTGGAACAAATATATCGGAGGTCTCTTCCACAAGGAAAGAGAACAACCGGCAATACACGTACGTACCAACTGGTCAGAAATATTAAAAACCGAAGCAGAACCTGCACTGGCCAAATTGAACAAAAACAAAGTAACAGGGCCAGACAGAATTGTAATAGAAATGCTGGCAGTCTTAGACAATTTCAGCATAGACAAGATTACAAAATAATAAATGAAATCTACAACAGCGGTGATATACCGGAAGACCTAAGCAGATCTATTTTCATAGCACTTCCTAAGAAACCAGGTGCAAACGAATGTGAACTCCATTGCACAATCAGCCTAATGACTCATATAACAAAATTTTTGTGATGTTAGACGTCTTCGCTTGTCAGTTTTGCTATATCAAGCGAACGCTAGTTATCACTTTCACAAATTCTCGTTATATACGAGCCTTCGTATACGCCGGTACTAGTAGTAACGCCTCCTAATAATATCCGCACTAGCAATACTTGTTCCAGTAGTAATTGCCAAATAGTATAATGATCAGAAGAGAAACGTAATCCGTATAGTAATACAGTAGAGACAGTGAACCTATAGCAATAGTGTATAGGCAAGAATGAATAGTGATCGTATAATCATCACGATACTTCCTATTTATTCATTCTTTTATGGTCATGTGATCTACTTAATAATGGAATCGCTTGTGTTACTCACTGGCGATCGAGTTTCAAACCACAGTGTCGGCAACGACATTAGCTCTTATACAATAAAAACACAATATTCGAATTCTTAAGAATAGAGCGTGCAGCAGAATCTGGCCAGAGATAGGACAAAGACAGTGCGGGTTCGTTAAAGACACCGGAACAAGGAACGCAATATTTATGCTTAGAATGTTATCAGAAAGGACAATGCAAATGCAGAAGGAAGTGTATCTGTGCTTTATAGATAACGCAAAGGCCTTCGATAAAAAACGCATCAAAGATCTGCTTGAACTGCTCAGCAACATCGATATATATATATATATATATATATATATATATATATATATATATATAAATTAACTTAAATTCAATCCTTCACGAGCTTCCGATTCTTAGATATGATTAATTAATCATAAGAATGTCATTTTCATTTTTTATCAATTTCATCACGATATTTCTGTTAAGCTTTAGAGAGTAATTATATATACTTTATTGCTCAAAGTATAGTACAATTGTTTTATAAACACCTCGGAGAATTCCAGTAGGATATCTTTAATCATTTCTAATATACAACGGTTCAAAGCTTATTTTAACAAATCGACAATATTGCTGTTACACACGGTATATATATATATATATATGTGTGTGTGTGTGTGTGTGTGTGTGTATATATATATATATATATATATATATATATATATATATATATATATATATATATTAAATACGGCCAACTAGGAAGATTTGCATTTTCTGTTTTATAGGAGTAAGGAGTACAAAATATTTACATAATTTGTATTGTCGCAAGCTTTTTCGGCGTCTTTTATAGCCATATTCAAGGGGTTTTGTTTCTGGTGTTTTTATTTTTTTTTCCTCATGTTTTCACTGTTTCGTTGTAATTTATGAGCATCTTTTTATTTTTATAAACTTTTGACGCTGCATTTCCACTGATAAATAATGTGATGTTGATAGTCCCTCAAATAACAAGATGTTCCTGATAATGTGATTTATACAAAATGCTAGGGTTTTCGACCGGAATATTTATTAAGTGTTCTTGTTAATTATGTTTATTTTTTTAAAGGATAAGTGATATGTAAGGCGTCTACTCAAGGAGGTAGTAGTGTGCCCGATATAGGTAATTGATTTGTGACAAAACCACACATTCTTGTACCAGGCAGTGAAATTTATACTCTATATTGTTCATTGTTTGGCAGAGTTATTTTGATTATTGAAAACAAGGTTTGCAGTCTTCCATTTTCTGTAATATATTATAAATTTTACATGTTTTTCGGGAATTACAGCAGAAATATGGAGTTTAATGGTTCTTCCTATAGCGAATTTCTCCTGTTTATAGAAAAGCTTAGGACGATAAAAATTATGGAATATTATTGTACACCCTTACTCCTACAAAACGAAAAAAAAAGTAAGAATGGTGGAAAAACATAATAAAAAATTAATTAAATCTTCCTCGTTGTCCATATTTAATGAAAGATGCTTGAAAGAAAGATTGCCCAAATACACACACACACACACACACACGCACACACATATATATATATATATATATATATATATATATATATATATATATATATATATATATATATAGACAAAGACAAAAAAGGCCTACGTTGAGGTTTCCTTTTGTCTTTTTTTCATATTGTCCTTTTTTACAGATTTACTCTATCAGAAATTTTTCATGTATTACTTGAAAGCAAATGAATGTAACTTATGTTTTGTTGAAAAATTGTTTATCTGAAAACACTTAAACAAGCTTATTAAACAAGAGAAATGAATTGATGGTTACATGTAGGCATGAAAATAAAAATTAATCTGCTTAGATACGTTGATCCAGATTAGTTTTAATGTAAATTACGGATTATTTTATTTTTTTTTTTTTCAAAAGCACAAGTAATCTCCCTTTATGCCTAATATAGAAAAATAAAAAATAAATATTCGTAATTCTAAAATATTTTTTTTTACTTGTATATACAAATCCCGTTTATTTTAAATGTAAAATGTAATTTTTAAAATTAAAAAAGATGTAATCCTTGTATAATATATATATAACTGCGCCAACATTGCAATGACCAAATATTGTTTTGAAATTTAAATTACGTAACGGTCAGTCTATACTGAGCACCTTAAGATTGCGTTAGGCATGAAACTCCGTTTTGAACTATCATTGAAGGATAATATATATATATATATATATATATATATATATATATATATATATGTAAAATGAGGACAAATGGAGTAAAATTCCATTGAACGTAACATCTAATATAAAAGAGGGCTCAATACAAAATAGAACTAAATTTCTTTTGGGACGTTAAAACAAAGACATGTTAAAAATCGATACACAATTAATATTAATTAATTAAGAATTGTGTAGCGATTTTTACATGTTTTTGTTTTAATATCGTAAAATAAACAATATACACATATATATATAATCCCATTAATACTTCTGATTAATTCTATGTGTGATTATTCTTTGTATGTAAATCATATGCTGCCTAATGTTTTATGTTTATTAAAAACTATTGATCCGCAGTACATAAAAAATTCTTATAAAAAACTACTACTAAGACATTACACTATATTATTGAACTATATACTTAGTTCATGACATAAAAAACTAATACACTTGTAAAATAGAATATGTGATTTAACACATCACAAGAAATATTTAAATAAAATTCTCACTTAAAAATTTTTGAAA